CCAGTCTGAGCCCCGGGCCCGGGGTATTTACCCAGTCTGAGCCCCGGGCCCGGGGTATTTACCCAGTCTGAGCCCCGGCCCCAGGTATTTACCCAGTCTGAGCCCTGGGCCTGGGGTATTTACCCAGTCTGAATCCGGGCCCGGGGTATTTACCCAGTCTGAGCCCCGGCCCTGGGGTATTTACCCAGTCTGAGCCCTGGGCCTGGGGTATTTACCCAGTCTGACCCCAGGCCCGGGGTATTTACCCAGCCTGAGCCCGGGCCCGGGGTATTTGCTGAGGGGTGTGTAGAACATTCCCAGTTGTTTGTCCTTGTAACAGCTGTAGTCACTGAGCTCAGTGAGGAGACTGACCATAAACAGTGTTAATTGTTTTTGGAATTTTAATTGTGATCTTTCTGTTTTGGAGATGATGGTGATCCAGGCCAGCAGGATATTATAATAATTCACATGGACTCTAAACTATTGGCCAGTAAATAGGAGTCTCAAAGGGAGGGGTCATGCATGGTTTCAAACTCTGATACATATGTTGTAGGGGACATCAGCTTCACCAAAGAACAGACACGGAAACTAACACAGGCCTGAACAGACATGCAGCGAGAAGTGAGAGGGATGGGGCGGGAGAGGGAGTGATGCAGTGATGGGTTAGAGAGAGGGAGATTGAGGCAGTGATGGGGGGAGAAAGGGAGCGACAGGCCAGAGGTACAGGAAATTGGAGAGATGAAGGAGAGGTAGGGGATAATATCTCACTGCTATAACTATACTACATTTGAGGTATTGCTCTGCTACAGCTACAAAGTGCTTTGGCCTCCAAGCAGCTCAACTCTGGGAGGTGTCACACACGGGTTGGAGTCAGGTTCATTGTTGATCCTTCCTTCAGACTATAAGAGGTCCGTAGATGTGACTGGAGTCTCCACTTTCCTTCAGTTCACTATTAGCTGGGAGGGACAGCGGGTGGTGGAGGGGGTCATCAGTCAGACCAGTACCTGTGACAGACAGAGAGAGGGAAGTGTTAATGTGAGCCCCCTGGCCCAGACCCAGGCCTGTTCATTCCTGCAACAGCCAGACACACTGATCCACACTCACTGAGCTGAGTAAGGAGACTGACAGTAAAAACAGCTAAATGTTTTTCAACATGCTCATTGTGACCTTTCAGTTTTGGAGATGACAGAGTGTTCAGTGACAGCAGATATTACATCAATTTACCAGAGCACCGCTCCCGGCACGGTGCGGGTAGGGCACCGCTCCCGGCACGGTGAGGGTAGGACACCGCTCCCGGCACGGTGAGGGTAGGACGGTGCTCCCGGCACGGTGAGGGTAGGACGGTGCTCCCGGCACGGTGAGGGTAGGGCACCGCTCCCGGCACGGTGAGGGTAGGGCACTGCTCCCGGCACGGTGAGGGT